TGAGATGTTATTAGTGGTAATTAAACAATATAAACTAGAAAAGGAATACAACAAAGTGTTTAACCTATTTTTTTTAAATATAGAATATTAGAATCTGTTTGCAAGCAATAAAAAATCTCCAAAATTTATCTTTTAAAATTTGGTGGTATGTTCAAGATACTTATAGATGTTCAAGATAATGTAGAAACTGAATTTAAATAATCTTAATTTTGTTGTGTTATCTTTGATTTCAATGTTCTTTAAATTTACAACATGGTTAAAAACATATTCTACTACAATTTTATAATTTTTTTATATTTGTGCAAAACTACTTATGGGCTATCTGCACTAACCCTCCTTAATTTTGAGCTGATAAGACTAGAGAAACACAGCAAGTCAACAACTCCAACAGCCAACTCTTATGTTACTTTAATCAATTAATGGGAGTTAAAATTTTCCTTACCTGACAATGTATTTCTGATAGATATTAATCTCTTCACACAGAAATGCTATCTTCCTTGTATGTCTGCCAATGAAAGTTGCATGTCACTAGCCTTGCGATAACTCCCAGCTAAATTCACTTGAATTGCTTCACTCGTCCATGATGACACATAAGAGGGTGACTCACTTACATATGCAGTAACTCCCCCTATGCACTTGCACTCATGATAACTTCATTCTTTGGTGAGGCAGGACAAAGAAAATGTGCATTGGAAATGGGGAGGATTGGTGAGAATGTGTCAGGAGGTGAGTATCTATCATAAAAACATTTTATGGTAAGAAAATATTAACTTCAAAGACAATAACTCACCTCTGTGGAGGGGCCAGTGCAAAATTTTACCTAGATGAGCTCCCTTCAAAAAGAGAATCACATGAAGTGTGACATCCAATGGCAGAAGCTCCATAGGGGCCACAATTCATCTCAACCAGGGATCTTGACCATCTCTTTGCCTGGAATGTAAGAGTGGAGAGGCAAATGAGCCCCAAATATCATAGAGACAGACAAAACGAGAACATGATCATCCAAGTACTTGCACTCAAATGGTTGGCGAGCCAATATGTTTAGTGTGGTTGGGGCACAATCAGACCATACAGTGACCTTGACTCTATTGAAAAACCACAAAAGGAGGACAAATTAGTTATGTGGTACATTTTGAATTTTTAAGGGGTGACATATAATACACAAACAGTGTCATCCCCCCCTTACTTATCGTTGTATTCTCTACTTGAAGAAAAATGGGGGGGAGAGACCTGGAGAAGTGCCCAGATCCCCAGCAGACCACCAACCAAAAAGTCTTTTTACTGACAAAACCCTATTTTTTTTTTTTTTTTGCTGGCTAGTATGAGCTAAAGAAGTGAGCAGAATACTTCTCTGGTGCTGGCTTTGTTTCATCATAGTCTATGGAATTGATGCTTTCTGTATCAGACAATTGAGTATGAGCACCACGAGAATACCTCAAATGGTCTTGTAGAATGTCCCATCTTGCAGTGGGCACTGATAGAGCCAGAATGGTTGATTTGAGTGCTTTCTGTTATTTTGGCTCAATGCAGCTTTTGGGAAATAAGCATACCCTAGGAGGCAACACCAGCTACCTGGTGGGATCCTAATAAATGTAAAAGAATGAAGTACATGATAAGCTACAGCCTGAACAGGACACAGGAGTCAATCCAGGTGTGAATGATGATTTGGATAAGAGACAAAAGCAAGAGAGATAGGAAAGAAGGTGTAGTTACCTTCCCAAGTGCTAAAAGTCTTAGGAAGAAAAGATTAGTATAGGGAGAGGAGTATACAAGTGTGGTGAAAAAGGGTGCGAGAAGCATCAACAGAATATATATCTGAATGACAGCAACCACAGGCAAGAAGAATGACGAAATAAAGCTAGAGAGAAAGATAGTACAAAGAGCAAGAAGCCAATGGTTCGAATGGGGTATACTTGAGAGTGTACGAGACTACATTAAGGCCCCAATTAGCATTGTAGTTGGGTGAGGAGGTCAGAGAAAAATGAAAGAGTGGAACACAGTGGAGAAGACAAGGAGAGAAACATTCTGTGGTTTCTGGGAAAGGAAAAATGCAATGGACAAAGCTGCTCAATAATCAACAATGGTGGAGACCAACAAAGCATGGACTAACAGCCAGGTAGGAAGGTTGTTCCCACTATGACAGCCAGGTAGAAAGGAATGGTGTGTGGGCCAACAATGAAAGGCCCACCACTTTCATTGATAGACAGACATAGTGGAAGGCCAACAGGAATGTGACAAGATTTCTACATTATCGGAGAGTCCAGCTAGATGGGCAATGGGCCAAACACAAATCCCACATGTGAAAATTGTGGGATGATATCCTTCAATAAAAAAGGGACATGCGAGGTGGAAGTAAAAGAAATGGAATATTGGGTAGATGAAGTAGAGGAAACCCTGGCTGAGCTGGCCAAAGAGGTGCCAACAGCAGGACCTGACAAAGAGTGTTGCATATTGAGGCAAGAACCTGAGGGGAGAATATGAAGAGGAGGATAAGCATATATAAAGAGGTGAGACCAGACCTGGTTGAGAGTATTGATAACCATAGCCAAAGGATGAGAAACAGGAGATCAGAAGAGAGGAAGCCTGGAGTTGAAAATGGTGGCAAAGATATCTATGAGAAGCATGCCCAACTGAAAGCAACGGCAATGAAAGATCTAAGGGTGTAAAGATAATTCCATTGGTAGAATGTGGACTGGCTGAGAGAGGTGGTCTACCACTATGTCCTTATCCCACAGCAAGTGACAGGAAAAAGACAAACTTAATATAAATAGACCCAGAAGAGTAAGTCCAATGCCTGAAAGCAAAGGGACCTGGAATGGGTGCCTCTTGGTGGAAGAAACAACTGTGGAATTGATGGAGTGGATTATGACCAAATGATCCACTAGTATGGGCAGGAATGGAAACACAGCTGACAAACAATGAGAAGTTTGAGCACAATGATGTGGAGTGAATGTTCATCCTGCATCCAAGTCCTTATTCAGAGATGCACTTGAATCAGAGAGGGAAGCATCAATGAAGAAACAGATCCAGATTAGAAGTTAGTAAGAAAATGTCAGAAGTAGTATGGGGATACAGAAAAGCCAGAATCCCAAAAAGCAAAATAACCTATTGTACAGGATGAGAGTGAGAAGTGCAAACCCTGATGACCAGATATGTCATAGTTTGCAAGTGAAGAGGAAAGGACTGAGCTCAGCTGAGACAAGATATGAAGAAAATACTCAGAAGTACCATATACTGAGTGGGCATGAGAAAGGACTTAGATGTCATGACAAAAAGAAGAGCAATGAATGGGAAGAAAATATATGAAGGATGGGTCAAGAGGGATGTGTAGGAAAGTGTTTGACACATCAACCGTAGCCAACCATAGACTGTGTGAAAAAAGACCACAGACTGGGTTGGAGGGAGGAGAAAAGAAAATGGGAGGAAAAAAGAGAGGTGGAGAAATGAAAAACGGTTTTCAGCAGAAAAATGAGACCAACTGCAGAAGAAGACAAGACAGGTGCCCAAAAAAGTAAGATATGATAAGGTAGTCACTGACAAGAAGAGTGATGAACTAGACATCTTATATGTAGAAAAAGAAGAAGAAAATGAGGAATGCATGGAAAAAGAATGTTAGGGGTAGCCAAGAAACAGGAGCAAGGGGCAAGGGCAGGAAAGAGGAACATGGAAATGATAACAAGGACTGAAGTTGTATATCAGTCCAGGTCTCCAGAAAGAAATGAAAATCACTGAAGACATTCAGGCAAAAAACGGGAGCCCAATGAAGGCCATGTCTACAAGAAGAAGGAAGGTGTACAGTAAAAAGGAACATAACCATACCCCATGAGTCCCAACATCAGGAAAACAAAAGTAAAGAGGGAGAGAGCAGAAGAAGTGGAACAGGCTAAGGTGGCAAAGAAAATAGAATTAACTTCTACAGAAAACCCATCTGGAGCACGATGAAATACCTCAGACAAAAGGTGAAAGGAGGAAGGAATTTAGGAGGGTAGCGAGAAAAACGAAGATGCAAAAAGGGGGAACCAGAGAACAAAGTTGAAGGCAAGGGGCTCGATCCCCAAGCAGGCCAAATAGATACCAAATACAGGGAACTTAAAAAGGAAAGGAAGAATGACTACAAACTAGGACAAAAATAGTCACGAACGTGAGGAGGGACGAAGCATTTGGATGTGAGAGAGGAGCTATTAGAGAAAGGAAACAGTATAAACCCTAATAATAAGCAAGTAGGAAAGAAATGGTATATTCTAAGATTTGGGGTCATGGAGTAAAAAAAAACGAGAAATATTTAAAAACAGACAAAAAGTAAGGAAAGGAACATACCTAAGGATAAAATCCAGAAAGATATTGGAGGGTTATATTTGTAGTCTAATAAATCATTCCAAACTGAGGAGAAAGAGCTTCAGCCAATGGGACGGGAGTAGCATGCTCAGTAATCATGTGTAATCAACAAGCCTCCAGAAGCCGTAGTAGAATCAAGGTTTGTATGTGTAATATCGTCACTCACACAGGACTAAGTACAAGTCACCGTCATGTGAGAATGCATGATAAAAATTAAAGCTTTTGAAACAAAAACCAAAGAAAACGAAAACATAGGTTTCGTTAATAAATGCAAATCTCATAGTGAACTCAGATGCGAAATTATGAACACGTTTGTTCATTGCAACACCGATGAGAAGTGTGAAGTTATCATGAGTGCAAGTGTATAAGGGGAGTTACTGCGCATGGAAATTGTGTCACCCTTCTGTTCGTGCACCATTTAAGTTCACGTCAAACACATGGATTTAGGTGGAAATTACCTCAAGGTTAGTGAGTGACATGCAAGTATCATCGGCAGACCAGCAAGGAAGGTATCATTTCTGTGTAAAAAGGTGAGTTATCGTCTTGGAATTTTCTTCCTATCGAGTTGAAACTTAAGTATTTTATCTGTGTAGCTTATGTACTCATAACAAAAAAAGTATGGATAAAGTTCCGGTTCAAAACATATCTTTATTATAATTTCTTACCATGTGGATCTCTCGTTAGTGCATTCTTTAGAGAGTAATAGATGCCTATCTTAGCAGTACCGTATGTAGTTTGCCTCAGAATTGCTGGACCGATTCTACAAAAATAGTTTATATGATTAAATTAACACAACATTTCTTGTGATTAAAACAGCACAATCTTCACTATCTGGCTCATTAAATACAACTGAAAAAATTAGATGATTTATGATTCACCAAAAAAGACTTTATTCATGATGCATGAAACAAAATTGATCGTTTTGAAAAATGATCTTGTAGTTAACTAGCTTTAACAGTAACCCAGTATAAATTCCACAACAATTTTTAATATCATACAACAATCTGTCTGGAATATTAGTGACAAATTGTTTAACCAAAAATAATTGCACTTTGACATAATGAGACATCAACAAAGCATTTATATATCGTACTTAACTAACAATATAATAATTGAATATCAAGATACGTATAGCTTCTGGATTTAATTAAAGTCTGTTGAAAAATAAACTTATAAAAATAGATTTTAAGGAATCTAAAAGCAAAATAGCATGTGAAATCAAAAGACAGGTTCTTGCATGGAAATAATGGTTCCTTTTTTTTGGTACTACTACTAGTTAATGCTTTATACAACATTCAAACCACGTACCTCAAAGCACTCAACTGCCAATCTTAAAATATTTGGAACAAATAAAAAACAGCTTCCCATTGAGGATTATTTTGTAACTATCTAGATATGAACATCGCATGTCATATCTTGTAGCAAGTGAATTTTGATAATACTAGAAGGTGTGGTCTAGTAAAGATACTATTCGTAGTTTTGATCCTTGGAGAGAAAAGTAGTAATCTTATTATAAACGTATATGAACCACATTAAAATTTTTACTTTATCTATTTATTTTGACTTACAACAGGAGTTAAGTCACCCCAAACTTAGGCACAGAATGGATATTGTAAAATATTAATATGAGAACATTAACATCATCCAACCAAACATCATTAGTAAATGTTTTATGAAAATGTTTTCTAAAAATTAATTATGTTATATGTTACAGTAACAATGTATGTATAAAGAATGTTTATTCGTTTTCTATTATTTCACGAAAACAACATTTTTGTGTATATCTGGTCATCTCCTATACGAGGTTTCTGGTTAGAATTTCGACTAATGTATAATTTTATGTTCAAATATTCTTCTTGATAAAACCTTAGAAATTGAACCATGCGAAAAACTAGTTCTCGAAGAAACATTCCTACATTGTCAAGTGTCTGACCCTTGAATTTATTAATTGTAACGGCAAATGCACGAAAGTACAACTTATTCAAATATGCTTATAAATTTTGATTAAATGTTTTTAAATCTCTTACCTAAGGTGAAACACAAATATTTATTGCACCGCTATCTATTGGATTGAAAAAATATTTAAGTTGTTTATTATGTAATATGATATCATGCGAAATTAATATATAATTGTATTCGTATTTTTCCGAATATTCAAAGAGTTTGTCATAAGTATGATAATAAACATATTAAAGAATTAAAATAATAATAAAATAACATAAAACCTTGACTCGACTAGAATTTGAACGCGAGACTTCCAAATGACAGTCAAGTGCTATAACCACTGTAGTTTTTATAATCAGATGATAACAATTAATTCAAATCCTAATGCAAACTATCGTTATTGTGGTTTTTTCCTAATATTGTGATATCTTGCTCTAAACATGATGAGTTAATAATTTCAAGTTATAAAAAATCCCCACTCGACTGGGATTTAAATGCGAGACTTCTGCTTGAAACAAACCACTGAGCTAATTTGAACGCTACCAACAGAGTCGAGCGTTAAGAAGAAATAAAAGATATATATCCACCAAAAACACAAATACTTAATAACAAAGATTAAATTACCCTTATCAAGTCTCACCCTGAATAAAGAGCCTGCAGACCCTCCTCCTTTGAAATTCGTACCAAGGCATGAAACATACCTTTGTACCTTAACTGCCTGTGGTGAACGTCGTTCACTTGCCCTTGTATTTGCAGCCGAGTTTTTGTAGTGTCAATAGGAAACGTTCCTAAGGTATAGTATTATATACTGCTTTACAAAACTAGCTATGTTCACAATCTGATTAGTTTATTAATTAAAGTAAAATAGTGCAAGTTCCACGAAAACAACTTAAGAAAATATATGATTTAAACTGCTGAATTACGATATCACAATTTATGGCAAATAACTAATAAAAAGAAAAAAAATGCATGAAACATTGTAAATAATATTCAGTTATTTTTAAAATATACTTCAACTACAAAAAAACAATAATCTGTACATTTACTGAAATTGACTGTCATAGGTTTCAAATTATAGTAGTAAGTACAACAGTTTACTTGCGATGAACATGTAAGAAACATTTAAACTGAAAATTGAAACATCAGAATTCATTAACAAATGTTAGAAAACAAGCAACAAAAACTATTTAAAATTTCGGCTTTATATATTAAAAATTACAATAGCTTACAAATTCACCCAATCATACACAAAAACTACATAACGTAGCTATACCATTGATCAAACATAAGGCTTATAATAATAGCTTACCGAATTCAGCAACTGCAGAACATATTCCTCCATATATGAATGGTTGCCAGTCGTGTACACGCATATCTGACAATACACTAAGAAACAGCTGTTAACGTAGAATTACAATGTAGTTGTCAGTGGCTGTAAAATAATAACTCAGGTTGAAGTCTATTTAAAGATGTCAGATATTAAAAAAAGTGGTCTAACATCAGCAGCTACGAAAAGAAAGTTCTAAGTTTACAAATATGGCATACAATTACTGATATATATTGAAAATGTCGTAATTTTTTGGGGTGGGTAGGGCGGACGGTAGCTGATAAAAAAGATGTTTCTATTGAGCAAATTTTGGCACAGGAAAATAATGATAAGAACTTGTAAGGCTATAAAATCAGTTACACAACGGCACATAATAACATAATGAAACTATTAAAAGTTCTATGTCACTTGTATGTTAACACATTTACAAACAGATTGGGAGCTGGTTAGTTTTAACAAACACTTATACATATCATATTAGCTATCATTATAGTAAACACGAAAAGATAAAGTCATTGCTTTGCGTATTACCATACAAACAACTAAACATTCTAATAGGATAAGTTCAGATTTTAGAAATTTATTATAATTCTTGTACATTAAACAAAATTAAAAATGACATTGCTCATTCATTTGTTTCAAAATATTCACACAAACCTACACAAAGGGTTATAACTGCACATGGCTGTTTTGTTTTTAAATGATACTTGTGACTAGAGGGAAGGCAGCTAATCAACAGCACCCACCACCCCCTCTAGTAATAGTGTGTTATTAATAGTTATCCTAAAATCTGTTGGGTTTTTTTAAACCATTGAAATAAGATTTATAATAATTACAATTCACTTACTTAATCTAGTTCATACGACAACGGTTGTTGTTCATGAAAATTGATGATATAACTAGCGCCTTGACCACTACTATGTCTGTCGTATACCAACCAGCCTGATGAGCCTTAGTGTTAGAAGAAAGGTCTCATTGGCACTGGATATGGTAGACGTACTGTATTGTAGTTAGCATACAACAACATATTTTACCAAAAAATCGTGTCATGTTGTCCTTCAGCGCTACCTGTCGGTCAAGATGTGTTTCTTGTACTTTTGCACTCGAATATCCCTATTACAGCACGTAGGTGACTAGAAATTTTATTAAAATAAAATATATCACTTTTGCACACATATATTAATAAAATTTGAACAATATTCTTTAGAAATATTTTAAAAATCATAATTTTGCAATAACTTTTATATTTCATTGTTGATGATTTTTTATTATTTATGTGTGTGTGAGCTCCATAGATATGAATGAGTGGGAATTAACATGGTCCAATTATCAATATTGCATATAGCATTTTGCCAGTTTATTTAAGACAATCTGCACAGGTCATGATTGAAAGAAGTTTCAATGAATGAAACATTATAACTTGTGAATAGTTTATTAGTACACTGCATATATAAAATGTAATAAACGTTGCATATTTGTCTATTCACAGCGTACAAAACGGTGTATGAGGATTCGGAGTATTAAATCCTTGTACTCGTGGTGTGAAAATTGATTTTGGAAGTTTGGTTTCACTTGAATTACTTCGAAGAGGATTATATTGTTGTGATATATAATAATAATAAACAATTTCATAGGAATACTTAAATATCGAAAGAATAATTGCAGTTAGGGCAAGGTTTACGTTTTTTAATGTATTGTTTATTTGCAGTTACACGCACACACAACAAAACAAGAAAAAGAGAAAAATAATGAATAATGCGTTCTTAAAAATTCAAGTCTTTAAATAGTGTAAACATTATTTAATGTTTGACTGAGCTTACATTAAAACACTAGACATTTAATTTTATCACTTCCACGAGTAGGTGTGGTATCAAAATAGTATACTGATCTGGGGGTAATGAAATTTGGAAATAGTGTAAACATTATTTAATGTTTGACTGAGCTTACATTAAAACACTAGACATTTAATTTTATCACTTCCACGAGTAGGTGTGGTATCAAAATAGTATACTGATCTGGGGGTAATGAAATTTGGAAACGCTTTAAATTGGTATTGAGATAAACTTTGTTACAAATATACAACGTTTCGACAATCTTACGCCATCATAAGTTTCTAGAAAGTTGTACATTTGTATCAAAGTTTCTTTCACTACCCATTCAAGCCGTCTCTAGACTATCTTCTAAAAAAATTGGGCCCCCCGTCATCAAATTTCATCCGGAGTAAAAAAAAAAGGTTTGTGCGGTAACTTCTCCTAGAGTACTCGAGTGATCTCAGCCGCATTTTTTTATATGACTTTGGAGATCAAGGCCAATCCATAAAGGTATAAAACATCGTAAGAATTGTTTCATTAAAGTACAGGGTAGCGCAAAATAATTTAAACGGCCTCATATAGATTAAAACATGTTAGACAATACTGGGTAGATTCCGTACTGCTGAATAAAAACAGAGAATTTTCTAAGTTAGTAAAATTGGGATTCACTCTAAACAGATTAAGACAACTATCTAAAAAACAGTAACAAACAATCCAAAAACAGAGCCCGTATAACATTAATAAATTGAATCAATTGTGAAAAACAATTCATGAAAACCTAAAGATTACAAAGTTGTCGTTCCATTTATATACTTACAATGAAAAGCATGCAGGGGTGGATAAGCAGTTTTGCCCTCATTAAAAAAAAACAAAAAAAACTGTAGAAAACTGCACATATACTTTATTTTTAGTATGTATTTACTGAAAAACTAGGTAGAAATGATTAATTGTCAAAATGCTGTCATTATATATAATATGTGTGTGTGTAACTAACATTCAAGGTCATAGTTCAAACAACTGTTTAGTGTAAAACATATTTCCCTTATAATTGTTGTCCGTTAAGCGCAAAGTTACACAATGCACCAGATACGTTATTGATTATATTCTGTTTGGAAATAGTTTGTTTTATTTATGCCACCCAGTTGCTTCAATTACGAACTAATGAAACTTAACTCGGTATAATAACTAGGAAATGAAAAACTCTTCTGAAAGTTTTACAGATTCTAAGTTCTCGGGAAAGCTCAAAATCACTTCAGGGCTACAGCACTAGCCTTACTAGATTGGGTTCATATCAAGCTGGTGATAGGTGGGTAATACTTGTTGACCTTTCTGAGTCTAATGTATGTTGATTCTATGAAATTTTCTCAGAGTATTTCCCAACAGCTGGTCAGCCAGCCTTGCAACATGCCAGTAAACGTGTTCTTGACCTTGACCATCAATCCTCTTAGTTAGTATAGTGCATGTATCCTAGCTTGTACGCAATGTAGAGTTGTACGGTTCTATTTTTATTTTTAGAATACTTTTATCTTTACATTCCCAGTTTTCGTTAGAATAATATAAAAAAAAATCGCCATTTATATTTAGTACAAAGAAAATGAAAAACATCTACAGAAATGCGTGAAATGCATTTTATTTAACTGTAGTTTTAAATGTCCATCAAAAATTGCTACGCGGGAATTTTTTTTGCACTCAGATGAGTGGGTAAACAACAACTGAATATTTTGCTTGGAGACGTCTTGAACGGGTAATGAAGAAAATCTTTAATACAAGTTTAACATAACAGCAATTGTACAAGGTTTTGTCATCATCAGGTACAAGTAGTTTACACTGACACAGATATATATACATTATGGAACAGGACTGTCCCCTACGACCTATACTGTCCACATATGATTCCTTCAACTACGATCTTAGCAAATACATAGCCTGAGCTCTCACAACATATGTAACATCTGCAGGTTCATTTTTTAAAGATGCCTTCAATTTCAAATATACACTAGACCAACTAAATTCTAAAGCCTTAATGGCTAGTTCTGATGTCGTGTCACTCTTCACCGAAGTTCCCGCCAATGAAGCTGCAATATCGCACTCGACCTCTACATTAATGACCTCAACAAGTTAATCCACATCCCCAGCACGCTTTTTGTTTCTCTCTTAGAATTTACAACAACTAAAACCAACTTCATTTTCAACAACGAACATTTCCTTCAAATAGATGGCTTAAGTATGAGCAATCCTGTTTCACCCGTTCTTGCCAATATATTCATGACCCAGATCGAAACACAAGCCATACATTCTGCGCTTCATCCTCCAATATACTGGTACAGATATTTCGATGACACTTTTGCTGGTTTCACTTCTGCAGAAGACACATTAACTTTCTTTGAACACATAAACTCCATTCATCCCAACATCAAATTAACATAGAACACGAAAACAATAAGCAGTTATCTTTTCTTAACTTCAACATTGTTAGATCAGACACACAGTTTAAAACCAAAATTCACCGTAAGAACACACACACACCGGCTTCTACATCCCTGGAATTCCGCTCATGACACCACAAAAAAAAAAATAAATCAATACACTGAAAAATCTCATAAACACAGCCAGAAGACTTTGTTCAATGGACTACATAGATGAAGAAATCAACCACACAAAACATTCATTCATTCACACCAACAAATTTCCATCAGGTATTGCTGAAAAACTCTCCAACATTCACCACAATAAAACTCAACTCAC